GCGCGCTCTCTCTCTCCCCCTCTCTCTCTCTCTCTCTCTCTCTCTTCCCCCCCCCCTTCCTCCTCTCAAAACTGTGGCAAAAAAGTTGGTACGTCGCGCACTGTGTGGCACTTTAAATTCCCCAGTAATAATTTGGCATGCCATGCTTTGCGTGGCACTGGGTTCAGCCCTCTTAGCTTTAGCCAACTTCACCTCTAGCCAAGGTATGTACTCAAGTTGTGCACCCCTGGTGTAAAATGTGGCAGCCCTATCCACAGTAGATCAGACATCTGTCATATCACGGCCTTATGTACAGAGCCCTTCTTCCAACATATGGCACACATTAGTTTGTAAATATAAAATCCCCTGGAAAATTGAGTATTGGGGTACTTATTAACATTTTCAGAAGTTAAGGGGTACTTGTTACTTAAAAGGTTGAGAAACACTGTTTTGTAGGAATTAAGCTATCAACCCATAACCTTTAGGCTATCTATCTTTAAATATACTTTTAAATAAATAGTTTCATACAAACTATGAATCAGACACTCTTGTGAATGGAAGACCTTTATTAAACAATTGGGTAGATTGTATGGGTCGATTAGATGTCTAAAAGGACTGTTATCTCTTCCAGTGGCTCTGTGCAAGTTTATACAATAGACAACACCACAGGAGCCATGCAGTTTTCTCATAAGTTGGAGTTGACACCAAAACAATATCCTGGTGAGTTTTTTGTTATGCTAATTTGGTTTTTTTCAGTTCTGTTATGAAGTTCAAACAGATTTTATTGAAAATTAAATGTGTTGCAAGAAAAATTAAAGCATTGATGTACTGCTTTAATAATTTTATGGAAAGTGATTTCCTAACAGCATTTAAAAATGGAACTGTTGTTATTGGTGATGACTTAAATGTTTATTAGCATTGGATTATACAGGAAATATTCTTTTAAACCTGAAACTACAAAAATGCATTAAAAAAAATCTATGAGCAAAATGATTTATTTTTGGTGATAGTAAGTGGTGTTCTTAATACAGGGTTTTACTTCAACCTTTTTTCAATTGATCAACTGTTTACTTTTAAATTGCCAGTTTGAGAATATGCTTGAAGTTTCATTTTGAAAATGAGTTTTTCATTCATTATATAGGACTTTTAAAGGGAGTGCAAGTTTGGTATTTTTCCTTTTTTTTAAAATAGCATTTTGCACATAAAACCTTGTTAATACTTAAATTCTTCTACTGGCCAACTAAGAAATAGCATTAGAATCATAGAGGAAGACTCTGCTCAGTTGTTAGAGCTGCCTTAACTCCTCCCTCCAAACTTTCGTTACAACAATGAAGTGCATTAATTATGGTATATAACGTTTAAAGAATACCAAACTCTAGGCATAGTTTGATTATTGTATTTGGATGCAGTTTTGGAATATAGGAGGTAAATATCCTCACCTTATTCTTTTCTTTCCTCTCTCTTGTTATGCATGCAGAACCAAATACTTTTTCTGTATTGCTTTCTGAGAAAATGTGTATGTTCAAATGATAGGAATTTGTACAGTGAGCCCAAAACAGCTAACACAGTTTCTGTAGTTCTATAGACAAATCTTATAAGGTCCCACAAATCCCAGCAAAAATGAGCCAGGAGTCTAACATATCTCAGCTGACTCATTTGCAATGTTACGTAAGCATCAATAGACAGTGGAATTTACTTTGCAGTAGTTACAAGTATTATAGTGACGTGGGGGTGAGAGAGATGAAGTAAAATGTGCTCTTCAGCATCAATCATGCATATTTGTACCTAGTACAAATGTTTCAAGAGCAAGTCATTCATGTGAAGAAATGAATTTTGTAATGCTGCCAAGGTCAGAGAAAACCAGAGAGGATTTGCTGAGTAAGCATGGATTGCATAAGATGGAGGCCTCAAGGCATCTGTAAATTGCTTTTTCAAAGATCATCTTAGGAGAATTGTAGAGAATTCTAGGCTTTATTCTTGGACAGTCCTGTTCCCTTACTTTTTATTTTTTTTTGTTTTGTTTTCCATAATGTTAGGAGGATTTCCTATAATGAGCACACCTTCTCAAGAACCTGTGAATCTTTCATATTTGATATTTCTTGAGATTTATGAAGCAGCAAAGAATGTAACTTGACAAATAAAACTAACAAAATTTAAGACAAACATGGCATTTTTTGTATACCCTGGTAAAAGCAATAGAAAAGTTTGATATTTTTATCTGTTTCTTAACAGATATTTGGAACAAAACAGGACCTGTTAAATTGATCAGGTGGTCTCCCGACAGCTGTGTTGTTATGGTTACCTGGGAATGTGGAGGCCTGTCCTTATGGAGTGTTTTTGGTGCCCAACTTATCTGTACTCTGGGGGGAGATTTTGCGTGAGTATGCTTTGTTAATGTGAGAATGCACACAAGTCCTTTTTTTGTTCTCACCGCATCATTTTGTATTTGATTTCTTAGCCCTTAGGCAGTACATCATTATGTACGGCCATTCCTTTTCTCGTGTGAAAGTTGCTGCTCTGTCCTAGGAGAAACAATGAGTATACAGATGTTTAAAACTTTTCTCCCAGAGGAAAAATGTCAGGGAGACGGGGCCTATGATGCAGTTTGACTTGGACAATCAAGGCTGTTCTGTGCATTGATGCTGTCTGTCTCCAGGCAGACTGAAGGAGGCTGCAGAACATTCTGAGATGTGTGCACAAAGGCCCCCGGGCTGTGCAGAATCAGCATTGCAAGCTCTTGGCTCTCCAGGGGGCCAGCATTTGAGTGTCTGTCCATGCATCTCCAGATAGGTTTATTCTCCTGATAGAAAAAACTTGGAAGAATTCTCCCAGATTATTTGAACAGATGTACATAGACTAAAATGGCCAAATCTTGCCTCCAGATATGTTTTCTAGCTTTTGTTTCTGTCGACAACAGAAAACAAACACAGATGAAAAGTGAGGAATGCTTTGAAACTAGTAATATACTGCCCTCTTGATTTCCTTTGCTGGCTACAAAGACACAATAAAGGACAATAAAGACACTTAAAGCTTAAAAGGAAAACAGTATTAAAAATTCTTCATGCTGTTTGGAAGAAGAATGCTGACACTTTTAATAGCCTTCATTGCACCGAAAAACATGAGCTAAGGTGATATACTACGTATAATTTACTGTGTTTTAAGCAGTAATGTGAACCAGATGGACCATTATAGTCTGAGCCATGGATGAAAAAATAAATCGTAGGCCAATGCTGAAATAGGAAGAGCACCCCCCCCC